GATTCACTCCTCTTCGGCCCAAGAGAAGCTTTCTCTCAAAGAGTTGATGGAGCAGTACAAGTCGTATCAAGACTCAGAAGAACATCACAGACATGAAGGTGATGTTCAAGAAGCATGGTGGGAGAAAACAGCCGGCAGCCAGAACAACCTGGTAAAAAACTTAAGAGAGAAATTTCAGACCCATAATTCTACCAGCTGAACACCTGCATCTCTTGCTCCCATGCCATTAAGTTCTCAAATCTCCATCTCTCCTTGGATTACTACTCAGAATCTTCTTTGCCTGTTCTACATCATGCTTGAAATTTCTAGGAAGTTTGCAACGGCCTCAAACTGAGGATTTTTTTTTTAAATGCTCTCTAAAATTTAAAGATCATGGATCTGACTTGCCACTGACACTGCACCGGGCAGCATTATTGAGCAGAACTCTTAATACATCTAGAAAAATCAGGGAGTTTCAAGTCAAAGCAGGGACAATACAGATCAATCATCCTTTGAACATGTACTTCCCTTCAGGAACTGGCCTATTAGGGAGGTTTTGCATTATGAAGCCAGAGCAAGATGTACGTTGCTCAGTCTCCTAGGAAAATAAGTTATTATTCTAAATTTTGTTTCTTTTTTTTTTTTTTTAAGAATGTAATTTTACTATGGCTTAGGTTGATTCCAGGCCTCCTAGCTTAGGAACATCCAACCTAATACTGTTTGTGTACATATTTGAATCTATATGCATTGTGCAATAACCACTTTTGACCAGCGGGGGAGGGATATAATTGGGGAAGATTGCAATAACTGATTTTTGTACCACATTTCCTATGCACAAAAAATGCTACAAAGCTGATTGGCAACTCTTGAAGTCAGTGATCTCTCCAAGATCAGCAGTACCAAGGAACGACCCTGGTATATTAATCCATTGGGGTTCTAAGCCATTTCAAGTCACCTCACTTCATTTTAGCCCATCTTAGTATAATTTGTCTTGCATTAAAATACCTTTTGAGCAAAGAAATCCTATGGGGTAAAAAGTTCTCTTCGTATTCCAATGTGGAGGAAATAAATGGTAACCATTCCAGGACTAAGATATTTTCTTCCTATTTCCAAGGCAGGTTGACAGTTTTCATCCTACAGATCCATATCCTCTGTCAGAACACCATATAATTTTTTTTCCTGTCATCGGAGCATTGTTGTTTGACAAGCAGTGGTTGTGAATCTCTTGCAACCTGATGACAGAAACAAGATTGGGTCTCTCTCTTGAAGCACAGAATTCTCTGCCCTTGCAAATCTAACCAGTCTTGTAGCCCTTGGAATGCTCTTCTCAGTATGGGAAGAATCTAAAGTGCAGTTAGACTACTTTGGCTAAGAGTAAATGCTTGTTTGAGAAGTAGTTGCATGTGCAATTGATGCCAACTGTAAAGCTCTGTAGCCTGAGTTGATGAGACCACCAAAGCTTCTGAAGGAGATAACATGATCCTGAGTGTGTATCACCTGTAGAAAACACCCAATGAACCTTTGCACTGGAGGCATTTCTTCATCACAGAAAGCACTGAGACATTAATGTGTACCATAAAACATCACAACTTAAATAAGGTATGTTAGTATCCTTTCCTTTGTATTTAAATTGAGATAGTGGATTATTTAAGCATACTGTTCCCATTATGGTTTAGGAAGACACATTACGCACACATACACACATACGCACACAAACTCCCCTAAAAAATCACAGAGCCAGGAAAAGCTTATTGGTTCATTTATTAGAAAAGAAAATGTTAAATTGCTTCTGAAGCACATTCTGAAGCTTTAGCTCTTTTCTCTGGACAGTGGAAGCACATTGGAAGCAGGCAGAACGTGATGCCTAGCTGTGAAAAGAGGATTAACTCCAGCCCCCAGATCCTGTAGGAGAGGCCTTGGGCTACTTCAGTAATTGGTACTCTGAAGTATATGTATTCTGGGCCCGGTCACAGGACATTCCCTTCTAACGTGCTGACTTGCATAAGTGGGATTGTGAAAAGCAGTTGAATCAAGAGGGAAGAGCCCAGACAAGATAAGGCTGCCAATCACCAGGCAGGAAATGGATCCTATGGATAACGCCAATGCTTTTGGTCTGTAATAGGTAAGAGCGTATTGCTGCGAGACACAGTCAACTCTACCCAATGCCTACAAGCTGAGAGATTTGTAATGGGTTCAAAAGCCCAGCTCATGACAGATTAAACAAACAAGATGGAAGAAAATGCACCTAAGGAATACAGCCACTTTCTATAAGCAGGTAGTGCAGTGCGGGGCAGTGGTCCTCATAAAGCAGGAATAGCCTCAAAGAGTACCTTAGTCATGTTTTTATTTCAATTATCTGAAAATGGGCAGTGCATTACAAGTTTAAACTCGGGAGTGACAGGTGAAAATGTCCTCCAAGAAAACAATGATGAGACTTCTCTCTTGCTGTACATGTCCCCACTGAGTGCTAAAATGTACAAGTGAAATGCATGTAAGCAAAATGTTCAATAAAGAACCTCTTTTGATGACTTTTGCAAAAGAATCAGTTGAGCATATGCCAATCTTAAAGTATACTTTGGAATATAAAAACAAATTTGCTGAATCCATATTACTACTTTCCTGTTGCCTGAGAATAGCTTTATACAAGGTAAAAAAAAAACCTAGTGAAATTACTACCCCATGCTTTCTTTCTTTGGCTTAACTTGATATGTGCTCTAATAAAAGTGTGCTGATTAGTATACCTTTTTTTCCCTTATAAGCATAGATTGGAAGAGCAGAGAATAACACCTTCCTGTCCCCTGATATGGATTAAGATCAAAAGGACCCTTAATCCAGAAGTGACTGGGAATAAGCAGACTTGAAGCCTACTTGGCTGAAGGGGGGTAAATCACAAATAACACTACCCAATTTAATGAGCCCATGTGCTCACAATGGCATGCTTATTTGACCTACAAACCAAACTCAGTTTGGTGTTTTATGAGGCCCTATACAATGTTAGGTAGCCTTCATACTGTATTATGTTAGTAGCTTTCTGTGCCTCCTAAACATACACTGGGAGAAAGTTGGCAGTGATGCTTCAGAATAGTTTTGGAAGGGAAAATTCACAATGCAGACCATTATAGTACTATTTTTTAAAAATAAGTTACACTAGCATATCAAATGTAGTAGTTTGGATCTGCCCGTTGAGTTAGTACGAGTTTATTGCCTACTCATTATAATCAAGGCAATTTGGAAAAGCACAGCATTTTGAGATACAACAAAAAAGAACTGAAGAATCCAAAACCTTGGTTCTTAGGACTTATATCCACACGCACTACAATTTATATTAAGCAAAGAGATGGTTGCCCCGCATGCACTCTTTTTTAGCTGTAAAATTCGGCTTGCAGCATCCTTTCAAGTAAGAAAAACCCAGACCTTTCTGTGCATGGTGCTTATTGAATTTGCTCACTCCAGAAGCAATAATTATGAAATGTTCCTAGGTTAAGGCACTTTTAGAATGGTATAATATCATCCCGAACCAAAAATATTAAGTTTAATGAGCCCTAGGGATTGGATGTTGAAGAGAGAATTAAAGTTTGGCCGGCTTTGTAAGAACTGAAAATCCCCCATCAAGAATGGCACACTTGCCAAAAGGCCATTGTAGGAACATCAGTCCCACAGGCCTGTTAAACTCATATGCAACTGGATTTCCAAGAATGTTTTTCAGTAAGCAATTCAGCTGATACGCTCTTTGCCTTTGCGCTGAATTCGTGCTTCAGGTTGGGGGCTTGTGACACTTCATAAAGGAGGGCGAGGAGTATCTATTTTAAGGAGCCATTCACGAAAACACCACAACAGACATTGCTGCAGAAGAGAGAAGCTGAGGCAAGCGCATGCTCAGCACAACATGTTCCACAAAGGAACAACAGAAGAGCCATTTGCTTCTGGCAAGCTGAGCCAATACAGGACAGATATTTTTGGAAAGCTTGTCTGCAGGCATAGCACCTGCACTCTAGTTGCGTGGCAAAGTGTTATATACTTTGCCATAAAGAATGGGATTAATAAGAATCTCACTAAATAACATGGAGCACAAGTTGGTTGCAAGTTAGGCCCACTGAACTCTCAATTTAAATAGTGGGAGAAATGCATAAGTCATATTAGCTGGATTGTGCTCATAGTGTTGTGTAGAAAGTGAATATGATTTATTTCCTGGGTGTGTAGTTCTACAAACATCTCAATTCCAAACAATTTAGTGCATAAGTTTGAATATAGATAATCTGATTTTCTGGCTATACTCTGAACCTACTATGACTATCGGGGATTTCGCCTGCAGTTTATTGGGTGTAGACTGAACCCTTGAGTTGAAAAGATACTGTGCTTTATGACATGAACGCGTGTGACTAGATTGCAACTCTCCACAGAGAGAGGCATTTGGCCTCCAGAAACTCCATCCTGACAATCTAGCATGAATGCTACAAATAAGCCAGGGGCTGGATGAAGGCATGATCTTCTGAGGGAGAGAGATAATTATTCAACTATCGTTTCTAAATTCCATGTGATGATTCTATGCCAACCGGAGATGGGGAAATTGGCTTACAGAATCCTGAGCTTTGGTAGTGATCCGGCGATACAAAAAAAAGGGAAACTGCTTCAAGACTTGTACCCTTTTTTTCATCCTCTTTGGCCTGCTAGGACTCCGTTCCACTCCGTTTTCTCTGTAACATTCCTGAAAAGCCACACAGCATTGTTCTCTTAAACAGTATTTTTCCGGAGTGAGGTCCATTTGGTCAGCCATCCAAGAATACGCCTCTCCCAGCTCCGTTTTGGAGAACACGGCTTGTCCTGAAGCAAGGATGCTGCTTTCTTCCCTGAAACATTGGCTTTGTGCCATCTGGGGAGATGTGGTGAAAAATGAAAAGGAGGAAGTGAGATCTGTGTGGGGAACAGTGCTGGGTGGTACCAGGGGTGTCCAAGGAGACCCGTGCATGCAGTTTTTCACTATGGGCCTTAGCAGCACATAGGCATCTGACTGGAGCAAGTGGCTACTTCTTTTTGGGAAAGAAGCTGAATCTCTTCTCTTTGTCTTTCTTGGTCAGGTTCACATCTGTGGTGGTGGTGATGGGAGGCAGAGGGAGGCTCTGAGCCTTGGATTTAATGCTTTGGGAGTCAATTATTGCTGTGCTGAATCCCAGGAGCCAGGTGTGCATCTCATCCTATGGAGCAGGACAAAACGAAAACAAAAAAACAACCCAAATAAGCCAAAAGGCACGGTTACGCTTTTCAGTTGCAAGATGCTATCATCAGCGAAAATGAATTAAAAAAATGTAATTCAGAGCAAGAAATGAGTTTGTATTTAAACATGAGTCCAATAATTTCCTCACAAATATTCCAAATGTACCGTAAAGTTGTAAATATCCCCCTAAGGGGCGGGAATATGAATGAAAATTGAAGGAAATGAAGAAAAGCAATATACTAAAATTGAACAATAGCCAAGAAATTAGCTGCAATGTGAATGATTGAACTATATAATGCACAGAGCAATCCTAGGCACACTTACCTAGCAGTGAGTCCCATTGAAATCTACTTCATAAGACCTACTTTTGACTGAGTGTCTTATACAGTATATGAAATTATCTGCTTATTCAACCTGCTTTTGAATCTGAAAAGAAGAGAACCTGAAGGGAGAGATTCTTCCTGCTTTCTTTTTATTAGAAATCAAGCTCCAAAATGGAAATATAAAGATCTATTTTATGTTTTTTTTCTTCTGCTGGTGCAGGTCCATAGAATTTGCAGGTTGAAGAAGCCACCTGACATTTTTCAAGCAGAAAAATAGGCTAAACATATTTGAAATAAATGAATATACTCATTTTCTATTATCAATGCTTCAGAGCATTGATAATAGAGCGCTGCAGAGCTGCCCATATTTGGTATCATCTGTTTATTTACCAAAATACAGAAGCAATCCGGGGGAAGAAAGCAGGCACAGGATCAATAACAAAAAGAGCAACGCCACTCATTTGAGCGCCCTCTTTTCCAGAGCTGTTCCTTGATAATAAGCTCCAACCATTCAGAAGTTTCCTTTTTTTTCTTTTCAGAAGAAAGTTTAAATCTATTTTGCCTCCTTCCTGTTCAAGTAGGTATGTCTGATTGGCTTTGACACGCTCAGTATTAATTGTTTAGGCACACCAAAGCATTTGAATAGCAAAATGATAGTAATGACCCTTAATCATGCTATACAGTCCATATTTCAATATCTGAGAAAGATATTCAAACACTTACCTCATCTTTGCCATGGAAGAGCCATTCACTCCCATTGCTGAGTCTGCAAAAAAATAATAATTTGAAAATACTGCAAGATACATCTTTCTTGGGGAGAGCTCACATGATGTTTGCACTTCAATTGTACAAAACTCAGCTGGAGAATATAAATATAGAATGTTACACAGTTTAACAATCAAACATTTAAGGTCTTGGAAGATACCAAAATATCTGGTTCAGTCTCTTCAGTTTTAAAGTCAGCAGCCATCCTTTGTCTTTCCTCAAGAGACCACCTTCTTCTGGCAAAGCTGTATAGAGTGTTTCATTGACAGAATGCTGCAGAACAATCTTTCCAAAATGGCTGAGCAGAAACTCAAATAGCAAATGTGGTTCAGCATAAAGCAGACATGTCAAACACAAGGCCCGGGGGCCGGATGCGGCCCACGAAGTGGTTTCATGTGGCCCGCGAACCCATCCTGGAAACAGTGAGGAAACGGCCCCCGCTGCCTTGGCCCTGGCCCAGGCCGGCCGGGAGCCAATGTACAATTTTGTGGTGGCCATCTATGCTGAAATGCATTCAGTCTTAGCTCCACAAGGCCGTCTGGAAACAGCAAGGAACCAGCCCCTGCCATGTCAGCCCCACCCCCTGGGTGCATGCTGGGGAGGTGTCACCCTTTGTGAGGAATGAAGAAATGCACCATCACCTGGAAGTGGCCAGCAAATGGCCTTCGCCTACTTCACATATCCGGCTTGATGGGCTCCGGGGGAGGGTTTCGGCAGGTAGCGGGGCGCTCTCCTCACAGCGCCGAGAGGCTGAGCCGGGTGGTGCAAATCCAAAAGAAATGCGAGGCTGCCCAGCTTCCAGCCTGCCCAGTTTCAGCAGGCAGCGGGGTGCTCTCCTCACAGCGCCAAGAGCTGAGCTGGGTGGTGCGAATCTGATGAGAATTGCAATGCTGCCTAGCCCCCAGCCTGCCCAGTTTCAGCAGGCAGCAAGGTTCAAAGTTGGCGAGCTTCGCACCGCCCGGTTCAACCTCTTGGCGCTGTGAGGAGAGCACCCCGCTGCCTGCCGCACCCACGCCCACCCAGTAGGTCACACCCACTCCATCCACGCCCACCCAGTAGACCGCCCCCCCTGGCCACCCCCCCCCCCGAGGGCAACCGCAATGCTGATGCGGCCCTCAATGAAATTGAGTTTGACACCCCTGGCGTAAAGGGATAAAAATAAGAGGATCCAAAATGGGTAAAAATGTCCTTGTTTGTTATGAAGGCTCATGAGGGTAGAGGAAAAAAGGATCTTTGGAAGATACTGACCCCAGAGTGAAAAGGAGATATTGGGACCTTTGAGAAAGGAGTTAAAAAACAAAATTTCTATCATTAACTCCTCTTTAGGCATCTATGGAGTGACCCCTTTTGAAATATTGTATATAATTTTATATGATTCTGATCATAGCACCCCCCCCCCCAAACCAAATACCGATGAGTTGAAAAAAGTGCAGGAAGGAAATAAATATTATCAGGCTGCAACTCTGCAAGGAAAGATTATAATATTTGGGTTGGGTTTTTTTAATTAATAAAAATGGAAGCATGTTAAAGGATGAACAAGGAGATTTTTTTTTGTTCCCATAGCAACAAAAATAATCTGGTGATGCCTATGGAGGAAGATATAGGATAGTCAAGAGGAAGTTCTTGATATTCATATAAACTATTGCTGCCATATAAAGAATGACAAGTAATTTAAAGGGTTTTAAAATGAGGTTTGACATATGAGTGCAGCTTAAGGTTAAGATTATCTACAGGTATTATGTTTAGATGCTGCTTCCAGGATCGAAGGAAATGCCAGCAGAAAAATCAGCAGGAAAAATGTCATTATCCTTGTATCCATCTTCTAAATGTCCACGTGGGGAAGAAAGTCTTGGATGAGACAGAACTTTTTCCTGAAATTTCTTTTAGCACATTTGTTTTATTGCTTATGAGTACACATTCTCCAGGAATCAAGATTTGTTCAAAAGCATGCAGTGTAAATAGTATCTTCTTTCTGATAAACTTTTTTTAAAATTTGCAAGGATCAAAATGAACCTATGCTAAAAAGCTAGCATTATGCAAAATTATCTATGACACCATCCCCAATCTTTGAGTGCCCATCTCCAAAAATTGGCTGACAAAATATAACCGTTAATGTGACACAAAAATAAAATACAAGGGAAATTATATTAATTTAATTTCCCTCAATTTGATCTAAATCAGCTATTTTGGTCTGCCTTATCTACTCTTAGTCCAAGTCTTGTTTGGTTGTGGAAAGCAATCCCTTTTAAATTAAGTGTGGAAAAGGTAGTGTACCTCTGAGTTTAGCTTTATGTCAGTGCATGCTCTTACAAAACAGTGGGCATTCTCAGAGACAGCCTGCCTTACCTCAGCTTGAAGACATGTTTCTTCTTCTTGTAATCTGCAGCTACTTCACAGAGGGCATTCTTCAGTCGGAAAGGCTCCTCTCCATGGTAAGGCACACCTAAAGCCAAGCTCTTGGCATCCTTATAGAAGGTCAGCTCATTGTTCCTGAGCACGCAGTATAATGTATTCCAGGACCTAGCCCAAAGAAAGAAATAGGCCTTATTGTGGGAAAACCAGAATAAGTTAAGTTTTACAACAGAAGAAAATAAGCTTCACTACCTCCGATTGGACAGACTTCTGATGAAACATGGGGCAGGTTTGCACTACATGATTCCCATTTGTCCATATTCAGGAGTCAAATAAATAGCATTTGTTTTATTCTTTCCCAGCTGATTTCCTGAATAAGGCAGTAAGGCTGCTCTTACTGTGGATAATTCTGAGAAAACTGTTATGGGAAGTTTCCAGATTTGCTTATTTATTTTTTTAAATGCTATTAATGAAATAAAAACAGTTTATTATTAGGCCAATATTCAAGATAATTTATGCAGACTGGTCAATGAGTTTAACAAAACAGTGTGTTTGGCCTTTTGTAGATGATGGCTGAATCTGTTAGGACAGTGGTGGAGAACCTATGGCACGGGTGCCAGAGGCGGCACTCAGAGCCCTCTCTGTGGGCACACGTGCCGTTGCCCCAGCCTTGCCTCCCCCTTCCCGCGAAATGTTATTAGGGGAGCAGTGATGCAAGATCTCTATGAAAAAACCTCTATGCCAGCTTTACCCAACAATCCTCTGGATTTTTTGCAGACAGTATGACAATTACATTGATGCAAAAATACAAATTCTGGTGCTGATATATAGTGTGAGAGTAAAAAAATCTATTTTTAAAATGCTATATTTATGGAAAGAAAACACATTTGTATATACAGTATTTAAGTTTGAGTAAAGGAGGATAAATATATTTAATTAAACATTCTATATCTCAGCTGAAAAATAAACCTTGGCAGAAGAGATTTTAAAACATACTGTAGCAGAAGAAAAACAAAGACCATGACAGAACAATAGAAAGATTCCGTGGTATAAATTGCCCCATTTTTAGATGTTTAGGAAGATCAATACTGTAATATCAATAACCTTTGTGAGACAGTTAATGAGGTTGGTGAAGTTGAATCTAGGCAGTCATATACGGTAGTTAAGTACTTTGGCTTTCAGAATATTTTGATTAGGTTAATATGCTTAGCAGGTTTTAATTTTTTTAAAAAAAATTACAGCCCGATCTTTACTTTCTAATGACAGCAAACATGCAGTGGCATTTTCTGATCCTTCACTGTCATCTCTCAATTACAATACAGCAATATTTTCACTTGGTAAGTCTAGATGTTTGCATGGGTTTAGGAGAATGGGAGCTACCTCATTTTTTGAAATTGCTTCCCGAAGCAAAGCTGCCAATATCTTGCCTTTCTGGTTGGCAACTGTGACTAGAGGAATCATCGCATCACTAAACTGCTTCAGTGCAACTGCCTTTATCCACAAACTCATACTGAGAAAAATCTCATCCATATCATACTCTTCACTACATTTTTTAAATGCAATCAGGAAACAAATGTTTCTCTTCTTAAACAGCTATTGGTTCTCCTACTGACACAGATAAAGCTTCTGAGATATACTCCCATCTGCAGGCTTAATGATATTGGTGCTATCACACACACACACACACACGTATGTATGTATGTAATGTGTGTATATATATATATATCCGTTGTCCTAAAATGCTGTGAATTCATAGGAGTTAGCACTTTCTGCAGAAAGCAGCAGAAGATCAGAGAGAGAGGGAGAGAGAGGGAGAGAGAGAGAGAGAGGGAGTGAGTAATATGGAAATTCTTCCAACATGAGATTTGAAAACAAATCAGAAGCCAGACAATAGTTATGTGTACCTGTTGGAAGCCCTCTTGTTAGGTGCTTCTAGGTCATGCTTCCGCCCCAAGTAACCCTCAAGTTGCACACTATGAGATCTATCCATCTGTGCTGGGAGGGTTGCTGTCTCATCAATCTCACTCACAGGGGTCTGGACCACTTTAAAAAGAGATTCCTTGGTGGAGGTTTCTTCAGTGTCCATGTTAAGCTCTGTCTCAGGTAGTTTGTCTTCAGACAGCTCTTCTGGTGCAATGTCATGACCTGTCTCATCATCTTGCACCTGCTGTAAACATGAATATGAGAGAAAGCTTAAGTAAAACCAAGAACAATGCTGAGATTAGGGGTTAAGGATGGCCCATGCCATTCCCCTGAAGAACCTAATTCTTCACATTATCCCATATAGGTTGTTATGATTGTACACTTATCGCAGACAACAAACAATAGGTATATTTCAGAAAATTCCCTCCTTTGCCTGAACTCAATTCATATGGAATATTAGTTCAAAAATGAGAATTGTTTAGGATTGCTCTCTCCTTAGGATACTGGACTGTAATATGCTGGATTTTAAATCAGGGTAGAAGCATTTAAAACATACTCCATTCCCAAAGCATTTTTTTTCAGATATTATGAAATTATCTTGGTTCTTTCTGGCAACCCTTGAGTAGCATGAGAGGTCTTACTATATGTGAGGAGACAAGCTTGTAATTCCTCCATATAGCAACACTGTTGCTCTAAGACTGAGTCCCCATTTGCATCTTAAATATCATAGCAGAAGAAACAGGTTGCTAAGGTATTCCTATGTCCCCAGGACACGGTCTCCATATCATTCTTGTCCCTGAGTGAGAGAAGCCATCAGCAACTTCCAATAGCTGGAAGATTTATAAAATCTGATCAATCATGTAACCCCTAGGATGGGAACGGCTGGTACTTATTGGTGTCTTCAGATTGGTGCAAGCATATCTTCTCTCCTTGTGTCCACGATACAATGCTCTACTATTGTAATTTTTTGTGTTTTCCCTCTATGGAAAGAGGAAAGCATTCACAGCAGCTCCCTTAAGTCAACTTTTGGTGGGCTTCTTCATGCTTAACTCATCTGAAACAAACTCGTGCATGCTAAAGCAGGGGAACCATCTCCTGTAGACAGTGGTGGGATTCAAATATGTGAACAACGGGTTCTCTGTGTGGATGCCGCTTCTGGAAGTCCATTCTGGGCCTGGGCAACAAAAAAAATTAGCTACCGGTTCTGCCGAAGTGGTGCGAACCGGCTGAATCCCACCACTGCCTGTAGACCTTTGATGCTCATGCACCCCTACTTTGAGAGAACTGCTTCCTTTTCTATGCTCCCCTTCCCCAGTTATTTGGTGGGCTTTTCTGGAGTGTAGTTTTATGCAATGTTATAAAAAAAATGTGATTTCCCCCTCCTCTAATCAGTTAGCTATGAATTTGAGGAGGTTACAGCATCTTTACATGGATGTAGAGATCAGTTGCTTTAAAGTGTGGTAGCCTTGCAGATTAGCTTTATTAGCTGCCAAACTAGGAAGTGCCTAACAAGGTGTAGACGAGTACAGGGGGTAGTCAAAAGACACCCCCAAAACAAACGAAGACGACCTTCCCACCTCCGTATAAAAAACATGTAAACTCACAGACACACACTTTTGTTTTTCATCGAACAAATATTCTTTCTCACGGGATACATGACGATCGACTAGTCACTTACAATGTTTACCCTACGAAATAAAATTATCCTTTAATTAGTAACTAATACATTTGATACTTTTTTTAAATCTTGGACTGGCATTTTTTCCAGAGTGTACAAACATACATAGCTTATATCTATGTATATATATGTAATATGCACACCTTCAGGAAAGGGGGATTTCCAGAAGGGGTTTAATCTACAGTTGGCAACCCTAGGTTGACCAAATGAGAAAACTAGGCATTGCAAGAATCTCTTTCTGTGCTTATATTTTTCTTTTGTTTGCCTTCCCTTTTCAGAAGAAATCATCTTAAATTCGTGGTCATTTTCCTCTCAGATAAATACAGCTAATATTCTGAAAGGTAAAGTTCTATAAAATAACACTGGGCTGCTATCTCTTGCATGAAGGAAAAAAGATCCTGCACATAAAAACTGAACAAAATTTAGTTGAGAACCCTTCTAATGCTAATTCTCTACCCTGGTTACTTTGAAGATGCAATCATGTGATTGCACTACCTATACTGTAATCTGTACCACACATTTTTTCTGACTATAGGTTAATGATAGGTATCAGAAATGCAGTTCTTTTGATCCTAAATTGCACTTGTTCTAAGATCTTCTACAAGCCTATAATACCAGTGGGAATGGAACTGAACCACTTCAAACATTTGGCTTCCTAAGTGGTAATGCTGGGACAAAATAGGTACAATATCTAGCAAAAAGAGAGATAATTCTTGTTTAGAAACAAAATGGCCCAGAGTCTGCTCTACTTTCTATTGGTTAAAATGTTTTAGTGAAGACAGTGATAGGGAACATCCATACACCAAGCTAAAATATGGTGAGCTAGTAGATAGTTCAAGGAGTTGCATGTACCTGGCAAGTATAGGTAAATTATAATAAATTATGGTTCACAATGTTGGTTAAGCCCAGGCAACTGAATTAATGTACTAAACCATGAACTAGTGGGTAGGAATTGTGTGCACCTGGAAAGTACAGGTAGTCCTTGACTTATGACTACAATTGGAACCAGCATTTCCACTGATTGTTAAGTAAGTTGTCCCCAATTTTATCCTTTTTGCTCTGGTTTTTAAGTGAATCACTGCAGTGATTAAGTGAATCATGAGGTTGCTAAGTGAATCTGGCTTCCCCCATTGACTTTGCTTGTTGGAAGCCAGGTGGAAAGGTTGCAAATGGCCTTCACATGACCCCCAGATGCTGCAACCATCATAACCATCAACACATCGGTTGCTAATTGCCCAAATTTTGAACACCTGACTGTGCAAAAGCTGCAATGGTCATAAGTGCGAGGACTGATCTTAAGTCACTTTTTTCGGTGTGTTGTAACTGAAGGGTAGCTAAATGAATGATCGTAAGTTGAGGGCTACCTGCATAGGTAAATGATGGTTTTTTGTGGTTCAAGTAATTTTTTCTAAGTTGTAAATCTAGAACCATGTCCTTCACTATCTTATCTTCCGTTGGTAAAGAAATGTAAGAAATTATGTCATGTTTTGCATTTCTCTCCAAATAACAGTGCATGAATTAAAAATAAGTGCAAAGGAAATCTTTATATCCTATCTTTTGGGTTTTTTCTATCAAACATTAACAGGCAATGTATTAAGCAGCATTGAATCAATGTCAGCCAACATGTGATTAGACCTTTGATTTGATAGTCTCGCCCTTCCCTCAAAATGTTATTAGGGGAGCAGTGATGCAAGATCTCTATGAAAAAGCCTCTATGCCAGCTTTACCCAACAATCCTCTGGATTTTTTGCAGACAGTATGACAATTACATTGATGCAAAAATACAAATTCTGGTGCTGATACATAGTGTAAATTGGTGCTGTTTGGGTTACAGTTTGCTTTAAAGTTTACTTTAAACTTATTATCTTGGAAACTGCTATGAGAGCACTATTTTGGATGAAAAAAACAAACCTTTTACATAGATGCAGGCAAGTTTTTTAAAAAAGCATTCTCTATTGAAGCTTACAACACTTAACTCTACTTATATCAAATATATTGCTTTTGTGTCACAGATGAGGAATAATAATTGTCAGATTAAGATAGTTTATAGTTTACCATTAGAATAAAGAATGGAGCTCTAGGGCCAATGCTCCTTCTACTTGCTGCCCAGATACAATGTTCAATCTTTTCTTTCCCTATTCAGAAATAAATTATATTCCCCAAATTTAGAATTCCTCAATTTGTAAAGAACTCTAGATATTTGTTTATTTATTCAAATTTATATGACAGGATGAATTATACTGTATATTCTTATACTGTAAAAAAACATGCTAGACTGAGGCTAAAAGCTGACCTAATGAAATGTTGCAACTCCATCTTTGAATTATTTCTATCTTGAAAGAGAGGAAAGACCAGACAATATAATTCCATATAGTGAAGCTTCAGTACATTGTTAAGAACTGAATCATTTAGAATGATACTGAAAAAAATTATATAATTGAATAATCCGGCGTTTTTGTTATTATTCTTCCTTCTTAGTTTTTTTTTTTACTTTTTTGGAGCCATTTTCCTTTATTTTAAATTAGGCTTTTATAAAGCATATAATTAATTATGCAGTAGGTTTACGTTTTTTTGCAAAGTATATAGTTTTCCATACATAATTAGTATATACACTATTGTTAACCATTATGGTTTTTTTTCAAAAAAATGTAATTGTAATATTTTAAAGACTTTTCAAAAAATGATTAAAATTGGGACATCGGAAATTGAAGAGGAAGGACTGATACTGCAGAAGGGCAGTTAGTATATATAAATCTTATATGGCTGTAATGTCCAAAGAGCCTAAGCTTGACATACATGGATAGGATCATATCAAATGCATATTTGGAAATCCTTTAATGAAAAATAGGAAAGCAGATGCATCTTCATGATATCAGTTTGCTGAACCCACAATGCATGCATTATGAACAAAGCCATAGTGAGACTATGGATCAAGGCATGCATTTCATCTCTTAATAAGAAAAAAATGCTCAGCAAGAGTCAGAGCCAATCTTAATCCTGTTTTTTGCTGTTGATTTGCAAGCATAATATTCATATAAAATACATCTCATTACATTCAATAGGGGTTGTGTTCAGGTAAGCATATACTGTATAGAATTATAGTTGAAGACAATGGAAGTTGCCTATCAATACTGCACATACAATATGCAGCAGATCTATGCTCAGCGGTCCTTTCCATTGCTCTCTGTCTCCCCCACATAGCCCACTCTAACTATGGAATATCCTTCCAGAAACATCTCATAATGTTGTCTTCATGATTCTTCTAGCAGTAGTCAAATATAGGTAGTGCCTGATGTTTTTAATCTTCTTTATATTTCTGCTGCTATATTATGTTTATTATATTTGTGATATTTATAATTCATTGTCTTATTGTGACAGCCTCTGCTGCTTTTAGGTGACTGTTTAATTTCTGTTCTGACTGGATTTCATTTGTCTTTTAATGTTATGGCATGGAAGAGTTATATGGGCCTAATAATATTTAAGAATAACATCAAACAAAGTAGTGTATTAAGAGAGATTAGGGACAAGGATAATGTGCTCAACAGAGTTTCTCTTCCAGATCCAGC